CATTTATCCCCTCATCCAAATCATTGATGAAGATGTTGAAGAGAACTGGGCCTAAAACAGAGCCTTGGGGTACAGATATATGGTAGGTATTCCAAACAGATGAACTCTTTAAGATTGGTCTAGCATAGATTTTATAAGCTCTAGTTAGCAATACAATGTTTCCAGAAAAGAAGCTTTGTAGAATTAAGTTGTCAACTCTTAGTGCTTTTTTTAGCAACACTGTTACAGTGAACTTTGAAGCGTAGATCGTCAGAGATAAGGACACCTAGGTCCTTAACAAAGTGAGGGTCATCTGCTATATCAATATCACCTAGCTTGTACTTGACATTCTGATTATGTTTATCAATATGTAAGACAGAGCATTTATTAATCAAAATTTGAAGTTGCCAACATGGCCAAAGGCATCTATGATAAAGTGCCAACCCACTCACAGCATCAGTTTGGTATTCACGACTATAGAGTTCATGGCAGTTGTTGAAGATGTATTCATAAGTTGAGTTGAGGCAGGCCTTCACACAATCCTTTACCACCTGACTGGCTCGTGGTGGACTCTGGAGCTCTTGGACCTGCACAAAACAGTGATAAGAAAGGGTGCCAGTTATTAGAAGCCATTAATTAATATAATAGGGACGCGGTGGCTCAGTGGCTAAGACGCTGGGCTTGTCAATCAGAAAGGTCAGAAGTTCAGCGGTTCGAATCCCTAATGCCGTGTAATGGAGTGAGCTCCCGTTACTTGTCCCAGCTTCTGCCAACCTAGCAGTTCAAAAGCATGTAAAAAAATGCAAGTAGAAAAATAGGAGCCACCTTTGGTGGGAAGCTAACAGCGTTCCGTGGGCCATTGGTGTTTAGTCATGCCGGCCACATGACCACGGAGATCTCTTTGGATAGTGCTGGCTCTTCGGCTTTGAAATGGAGATGAGCACCGCCCCCTAGAGTCGGGAACAACTAGCACATATGTGCAAGGGGAACCTTTACCTTTAATTAGTATAGTGGCTACTTGAAGAAGCATCAGACTAAAAGAGGCAAAAAGGATGATTGGAAAATATGTCTTAAAATGAGAGACTGAGGAAACTGGTTATGTTTAGCCCACAGACAAAAACATGTGAGGGGGATATGAAATATCTGGAGGAGTATCACCTGGAAACAAATCAAGACCTGTAAACTTTCAACTCAGTGTGCAGGACACACAATATAGAAAAGCAAATTTCACTTTAATGTGACAAAAAGCTTTTTAGAATTAAGAACAGGTTGGCAAGGAAGAGCTTCTCTAGGGAGGTGGTAGGTTCCCTTTCATTGGATTTTTAAAACAGAAAGTGAACCATCCCATTATTTTAATTACCAAGAACATCTCTTGACCCAACAGGCATATTTTTATAAAGCTTCTATTTTTCTGAATCGCTTTCTGGATTGAGCCCAGAGTCAGAGACGTTTGAATTTGGTTGGGCTATTTCTGGAGCTTTGGAACAATGGAATGGGCTATGCTTGCACAACTCTAAACCAGATTAAATCACACAATATCAGTAGTATCAGAAATTAAGGAAGCACAAAATGATATTGGCTTCCATCTTTCCAGGATGGAAGAACTGGAGATTTACCTTCATCCGGAAGAACGTGATGCTGGTCAAGAGGTCCACTGTTGATTTAAGGTCCTGCAGTCTTTCAGGACTGCTGGCAGGGAAATTATTCTGAGAAATAGGAGAAAATGCAGCCATCATTTGTAAATGTGTTTTTATTTTCCATTTTCATTTTTGTACAGTCACATATATACTGTGCANGCTTTCGTCGAGCGCGATTTTGTCGTCCGCGGTTTTGTGGTGGAACCAATTTATCAGTCAGCCTGGCTCCACCATATAAAAAGAGAAAACCCAGGAAGAATCAACCTCACAGGGCTCAAATGATTTACTAAGACTGTATTACTATTATTCTTCTCTTCCCTCCTAGTATCTCTCTCTTCCCATGTTGCTTGTATCTTTCTATTTATATTGTTTTCATTTTTTTTCCTAAGGTTTGATAGCTTCTTAGTAACCTTGACTATCACTAAGTGTTGTATCTTTTTATTCTTGATGACTGTATTTTATTCTCCTTATGTACACTGAGAGCAATTTGCACTTAAGACAAATTCCTTGTGCGTCCAATCACACTTGGCAAATAAAGAATTATATTCTCTTGGGAAGCTAAGATGGAATCAAATCTTGCACTGTGAAAGGCAACAGGGATCATCTTATAAATTGGAGGCGGGGGGAGAGTTTCTTTGAGAGTGGACAGAATAGCACCCCTCCCCCAAAGTGGGCACGGCCAAGATAAAGACGTGGACCATACCAACAATGATGCAATCTAACCCAGATTTAAATTTGATCAAAATTAAACAAAGTTTAAAGTTAATGATACACACACAACACACACACCTCATTCAAACTTCAAACTAATGAAAACTGAGAGTCACTTTGATCTGGTGGTTAAGGCAGCAGGCTAGAAAGCAGAAGATTGTGAGTTCAAATCCCGCTTTAGCCTTGAAAGCCACTGGAGTGACTTTGAGCCAGTCACTCTCTCTTCGTCCATCCCTCCTCACAGGGTTGTTATGTTGAATATTTGCCACCTTGAGTTATTTGTAAAAGCCATACAGGTGGGATATAAACAAATAATCAAACACACTTTGGAGGAACCTGCTGATAGCCATACTTTGATCTTCATCTTCTTACCTGCAATTTGGGCCTCATAGCTGCACAGAAGACTTGCCATGGTGCAGTGTATTTAAAGAGAGCCATTCTTGAACCAGCCTGTTTGAGCTGAGGGTTGCAGATGGCAGAAGGAGAGGGATCCTGCCCGGCCTTGGGATATTGGTCATAAGAAAGGCTCCCACTTCTCGAACCCCACATGGTCTCGAGTGCAGCACGCAACCAGCAGCCGCTGAGATTGAGAGTCCAACCGAGGAACTGGAGGAAAAGGAAAGTGAATCAGCACACACCTGTACAGGTAAACTCCCTGGCTTATGGCCACGCCTTGACAGATACTTCTTCGCATTGTCTCCTCCCTGTAAGAGAGAGAAGCTGGAAAGAGGAAACGAGATGAGAAACCACAGATGAATGTGGGTCAAAAGCAATCAGGGAAAAGCAAACAGTGTCTCCTTCCACAGTTGTTACATTGAATAAGGAGGAAGATTTTTCTTAACAAAGGGAGAATTGGCAGGAGTTTCATGTCAGAAGGACAAACTTTTTCTTTGGCAGCAAAGGTTACTCAAGTTAACTTACCCAACTTTTTAAAATCGCCTTTTAAAAAAAACCTGAGATAAAACAGGGAATAAAACCATACTAATGTCCAAACAACCGTAAATTCTAAGTTGCGTAACAAAAACTTAGAAATTGAATGAAAGAACGTACATCTTTGTGCATAAAAAATTGTAAAGGTTTCACTTGTCCAGTCGTATCCGATTCTAGCGAGCAGTGCTCATCTCTGTTTCTCAGCCAAGGGAACCCGTGTTTTCTGTGGCCATGTGGCCCGTGGCACGACAAAACCGTGGTCCACTAAAGCGCACCCGATTAAAGCGCGTTGCTGACGTCATCAGCAGCGCGACAACAACGTCCGCGGAGAAAAAGGGGCGCTTAAAAAAGCGCTTTTAAAGCAAGCCGATTCACGTAAAGGTAAGGGTTAGGTGTAGGTTTAGGTTTAGGGTTAGGGTTAGGTTAAGGGTTAGCGTTAGGTTTAGCGTTAGGTTAAGGGTTAGC